GTACGTATGTACGTATGTACGTAGGTATGTAGGTATGTAGGTAGGTATGTAGGTATGTATGTATGTATGTATGTATGTATGTATATGTATATGTAGCTAGGCTATGGCTTTGCTGGAGATCGATCCCTTTCCTCATTTCTTGCCGTCTTGATCTATATCTCGAACCCCTTGCCTCCGATGCATGCTGACAACAACAACGAGTGCTTTCACACCCGAAACACTGACTTTTCAAACCAGGCTACAGCTGCCTGGCTAAAGATTCTTCAGCGGCATGGCTCGAAGCCTCAAGATGGGCATCCAAGGATCTCATAGCGAAACCAGTTTTCATCTCCAGATTCCATGGAAGCCTTTCCAGATCCCAAAGTGTAGAGGTATGAAGCTGCAACATGAAACGAAGAGAAGGCAATCGCAACGCATGTATTCAAGGAGGCGAGCTGCGAAATCACATGCCGTATTGACAGTGCATGTGGAGAGTATCCCAAGCCCGCAAGGCCATCGATAGCTCGCGGACCAGCCTTTGCAGTGCGCTGCTACAAGGTTCCACCAAAAAAGTCAAGGCACCGCAGGTCTTGGGTTTCGGGGTTTGGGCTTTGTGGCTGAAGACTGGGAGACATCATAAGTCCACAGCAGCAACATTTTGGACAGTCGGCCAGCCCCGGAGCGAGGAATGTAGCTTCGCTTGAAAGGAGGCAAATGGAACGCATTGGCCCACAAGTAACGAAACCTGGATCGCAGAGGGCCCTGTGCTCTTGAATATGAGCTCCTGCCAATGTTGCAAATATGTTAAGACGTGTCACGTGGGACAGGAAGCTCTCAGCAAGGCGCCACGCGGCGAACGCGCGGCCAGTGGCATGCTTTAAGTGGGAGACGTTTCCTTGTCTTTTCTCGGATTTTCGTTTCCATGGAGCTACCTCACTGGTGGAAGCAAGCGTGCCAGTACTTTTGCGGAGGGAAGTTCTTGTCTACGCCAAGCATCTTAGGTGCTCTCCAAGTCGGAGTTGGGCGACGACAGCTGTCACCACTTCTTTGGGCGCTGCGAGACATGCACCTCGAGGCGTGCACCCTGGCCCTGGTCGGCCCTTGTTCCGGATTCCAGAAGGAAGCCGAGTGCGCGGCTTTCTTGTTAGGTGCTTGAAATTCTTCTCAGCGACATTCTCACGATCCGTGCAGACCGGCTCGGCACTCAGAGATCCGCGAGAGATTTCCAACCAGTCAGTCGAGATCATGGGCCGGGTTGATCCGAAACCCTGCCTAAACGAAGTTTAAGGACAATCTAGCTGACAGCTGCAGCCTGTGGGTTTTCGATACTTGGTTGGGCTATCTCTTGATCGAAGCTCTCGCTTGCAAGGCAGTGTTTCTACTATGGCGTCGACGACCTCTGGAAACGGTGCCCTGCGATTCTCGATGCTCTGGTAGAGCAGCTTGCCTTTTGTTTACGCTTCGGGGTTGACACGCGGACAGCAGCCGTCCAGAGCAGCTGATGTCATCACCTGCATCGCACCCAGCATTTCAAATCGTCCTCTTTTGCAAGACGGAGGCCCGTACTCCCGAGACGAAACTCCTGCAAGGTTTGCCCCGCATCTACTGGAGCCGCTGCTGGATGGCCACATGTGGGTGAGCCGGGAGCCCCTCGGCTGCCTTTCGCAACTTCGGTGCTTTTTGGTGCTTGCTTGTTTCTATCTCTCGATGTCTCCATGTTCCCTGGGATATGAGTGATGGTGCAACTTCCGACTTCGAATGACTCACCACGACCATCCACCTCATGTGCAGGACCACGGACGGCTTGCGACGAGTCAACCTCTGGGTGCCTTGCACATCGTCATTGTCGATGTTCGAGGGTGTGTGATTGAGACAGAATGGCTGCAGGAAAGGAGGCTTGTTTTCTCGAGCTCTGAAACCGAGTGGTGTGGTTGCAACCAAGGTGCAGTACATCTACGGCAACCCTGCGTCTTTGCTGCAAGTGCGCCTATACGAGCCACCTTCATTCACAGCTGGGATACATCAAGGGTAGGGCCATGCACGGACGGCATTAGACATTTCAGGCTGGAAAAGAGCTAAAGCCGGTCATTCTGTTCTAGTGTGTTCCAGTCTTTCAAAATTCCAGGAGGAGTTGGAGCATGCCGCTTGGCCTGGTCTAGCTTCATGGATTTTGTGAGCAAGTCGGGTGCAGAAGATGCCGGGATTCTTCCGGTCAGACCAGAGGCTTCGCACAATGGGAGTTACAAAATGCCTTGTTGCTTCTCTGTCCTCGGGGTTCTGCAGTCCGATCCTGAGGTGTTTGCAGGCCCTTTGGGGACCTTAGTTGAGCGACTGCCTGAGACTCACATCGAGGCGCGGTGTTGAGCTCCTTCTGAACGAAGGCGTAGAGCAGGGGCAAAATATGCTTTTGAGGGCATGTAGTGAGTAACGCTCCGCAGCCTCGGTTGGATTGTCGTTGGCCTCATGACATCTTGTGGCGGGACGCCTGGCATCAAGTTGGCCGCGATGACACAGATCAACTTCCACCCGTGAAGAGCTTGTGTTAGTGCAGCAGCCACCACTCTGCCATGGTCTTGCTCATGCCAGTAATATCAAAAAACCCAGAGACAGCATCGGCACCACTCACCCCTGGACGCGTGTGAAGACAACCTTTGAATAGCCGGAATGCTTCGTCGCAGGTTTTTCGGCACCCTGTCATCGCGGTGCCTTGGTCTTTGAGCTTGCCCCTTATTTAACTCGAGGATTTTAGCCCCCTTCCTCCGCGATCACCAGCTGTCTGAAGTGGCCCTCTCGTGATTCAAGGTTCGGTCCTGCACGCCACATTCGCAGCATAGAAGCTGGATAGACTTGCCATACTCCAGGAGACCGTCAACCTCAAGTGGCACCAGTTTGGACGAAGGCGGCTCATAGCCGTGTGCCGGGCTGCATACAGCAATTGAGAGCAAGGGCAAGCAGCCATGTTCAAAGCAGTCCTTGAAGCGTAGCATTCCGCCTCCAAGTTTTGTCTCAAGATCAAGTCGAGACCCTGAGTCAATGAGAAGACAACCTCGGGCCAAGGGCCATGTTCACTGAAAAGCGAGCCCAGACGGGGCACTGCGAAGTCAGGTTTCCGTGCAGCAGATCACCTGTCTCATCTCTTACCTTGTCGTCAGCAGCTCGGCTGCGGCAAGCATCGAAGTTGGTTGGTGGGCAGACGTCTCCAGCCGACTCCGGCCGGCACAGCCGCTAAAAAAACCCATCGCTAAATGCTGACATGCCTAGGGCCTAGGGCCCAGCATCTAAGGTATGTCCGGCGATTTGTCTCTTTGGCTGCGCCTTTGCGCCTGCGCTCTCTGGGGAACGCAACCCACCCTGCAAGCGAATGAAGTTTGTGGCAGGGTTTGGGAATGTACATCTCGAAGATGCACATGCATATGGGACAATGTCACTCCACGCCAGATACGCATGCAGGTGTAGCCTGGAACGCTTGTTTAGTCTAGCTTCAATCCCAGAATCCTTCAGGATAACTGCCATTCAGCTGGCGCACGGTTGCTACATCGCCACGTGGGAGGTGGGGATCCCTGAATTTGTTGCTTTGACAAAGTGCGCTGCCTCACACTGTACGCAGTAGTTCAATTAGTTTGGCATGCGCGTGGGTAGAGCGGTTATCATCCAAATGCGTCGGCAGGATGCATCTACACCATTGTTCACATGCGAACTTAAATTGGCGATGCCTTGGCAGTCAACCACGGCAGACACTGAGTGTTGAGTCATCCTCATGCATGCAGCGACTCAGCACCATACTGCCCTTGCTACTGTCAGCCGATAATGCATGAAGCTTTTCGAGACACAAACCATGCGACCGAGAGGCTTGCACGCAGCGGTGCACTTCACTGGCCCTTTGGCAGCAAAAGGCATGTGAGGCAATTGCGGGAATGGGTGCTTGATCTTGCTGAAGCGCTACCACAAGCGTGACTACATCCTTTCTGGTGGAAAATGTGCTCGGACTTTTGTGGCAGGGAGTGGCTGCGTGTGGAGGGCTTGTGGGGCATCCATCCGCGCAGACTTAACCAACGAACCCTTGCTATCAGATTCATTTCTCCCAACACACTCTTCTGCTCCCTAGCCGAGGACTTCAAGCTTTGCCGGCTCAAGGCTTAGCTTGCTTCGCAGTATACATGTCTGGTCGTGTGCAATCATTGCGGTGCTTCGTCCACCGTGCAGAACATGCCGCAGCTTACATTGAACACTCATCATGTAGTCCTAGTCGCTTCTCCGGATCTTCAGAAGTGCTACATGCAATGAGATGACATTAGGCCCCATTTGGCGAGTGGGGTGTCCCGTAATGACGTAATGTTCATGAAATTGTTGATCCACTCGCCAACAAGCCGAAAGCTTCGTGCCAGCGGACTCCTGGCACTCCACGACCAGTAGACATCGAATCCCTGCAGGTGCCACGGAGTCTTTGTCAATTCTTTGTGCAGCTGCGGCTGGTTTGCTGCCTCCTCTCTCTGTTGCTCGTCGCATGATTTCGCATGCATGGACTGGGGCTCATCCGTTGTCATGAACCCCAGACACAGCACGCCCTCCCTGCTCCTCAACGAAAGTCGGCAGATTGCCTGAAATACAGACGACTGATGCCTTCTCCCACAAAGCCAGATCCCAAGTCGCGCCGCACATTGGACCGCCGGCCTGTCCAAAGGTTCGCGACACTCAAGGTCCAAAGCCTTTCGTTAATGCAATTGATCAGGAGCTAGCCCCAAAGAAGCCACACTCAGTACAAAGAGCAACATGGTTCACTCTGAGGGGCGACTTGGCATGGAAAAGCCCCTGCTACTAAGACTCTTGATCGAGACCATGGTGGTGAACTGCTTCTATAGCAGCCGCTGGACTGGAAATTGACGGTTGTGATACCACTTTCACCGAGTGATAAGCAGGTTTGGCGGGGGTTGGGTCCTCCACAGAACAGGCCTGCAATGTCCCAGCTTCCTCGGAATGCCTTAAGTACATAGCTGGATGCTGAGCCGAGTCTGCGCAAACCTGCATGTTTAGAGGCAAAAGCCATGGTTGATGTCCTGGCAAGGCTCAGATGCAAGATGCTTGGAAGGAGACCATGCGTCACCTCGGGTTCTGTCGGCGAGCGTTGCCTTCCTCCAGTGGCGTCTCGCCTGGCCTTGGGAAACCTCTGTATAGAAGCCTGATTGTCTGAACCAATAAGGGCAGGGGACGGGATTTTGTAAGTTTGGCACCAAGCAAAACAGCTGCAGTGCTCTCGCGCCTACCTTGCAGCCCGCAGTCGTCACCTGGAGATGCCATGCTTCGCGCTTGGCTCCTACTCAGCCCAGGATCCAGATGGCCGAGCTTTTCAAGCTTCCGGGCCGCCTGTGCTTGGGGGTAAGCTGAAGGCATATTTCGGAGGCCTTGGCTTCGTAGATCCGGACAGCAGCTATCGAAATGGAAAACAGAAAGAGCCCAGAGGGACCGAAGGATTCGAGCAGTCCGAAGAGTCCGAAGAGCATCATGTTCTGAATTAGCTAGCAGGTCGCCAACCCGGGCAAACCTGAGCGATTAGTTGTCCTTCTGTTTCCTTTGCGTGGCCTCCAGTGTGCCATGCTGGGCTTGTCGGCAAGCGTTGAAATTACATAGGGCACGAAGGGGACAGCACTGTCTCAGGGCTCGTAATCCCGGCTCCAAGGCTTCATGGAAAGATGGCGGCTGTCGTTTTACTGGGAAAGGCTATGATGGAGGACTGTTCTGCCATGATTGCTGCACTTCAAGAACCGACGCTTCCTGGTGATCAGAAAACTGCGACGACCTCAGAAGCGCCTACCCGAACCCACCGGATGTTCACATCATAACTCTAGTTGCCAGGATGAGTGAATTTAGCACAAAAGAATTCTGCTCAACTGACCCACACTTGCGACAGGATGCACTGCGCTTCATGATGGGCCTGGGGCTCTGGCTCATCGCTGTGGGTGCCAAGCTGAATTTGGTGAGTGATGCCTACACTGAGATCCGATCTCGCAGCTGTCGCCGCCACCACACGCCAACCTGAAAAAACATTCCTAGCTGCGAAAAAGCCCTAGGCAGCAAGACCAACCTTTAGTGCAGCCACGAGGGACAGGACCACTTTCGCAGACTATGCAGGTGCATCACTGCACAAGCTTCAGGACGATGAGACCAGGCCCGTCGAGCTGTGATGCCACTGTCCACTACTGTAGCAAGTTTGGACAGGGCCCTGTTCCTCATCATCTCATGTGCGGACCAGGGCTGTCGATGTTGCGCCGACACAGAGAGTATTGCTACTTGAATGGGGTTCCAATATCGCAAAGCATGGTTGAGTGCCGGACTGTGCCAAGATGTTAAGAACCAAGAACATGTTTCGAGCATTTTCGAGCCTTGCCTGGCTTCTGCGAGGCCGCAGAACGGCTTCTCCAGTGCTTACAACTTGTTCGCACACGCCCGGGCCTTTTTCTCTGCCGAAGCACAGGCATACAGGAGGCTGTCTAGCCATGTGACATTGTCGCTCAGATATTGGAGGGGTCTGGACCCGCAGGAGTCCAGGTGGGTTTCGGCAAGGATTTTGTCGTACGTGGTTGTGTTGATGATGCCTGCGGCTGAGGTCCTCGGCGTCGGCACAGACACAGCCACCTTGTTTGCATCACAGCTGCTGGGGTTCGTGGTGAAGCAGATGCTTGTGGGTACATACTATCCTGAGTGTTTGACACGGGCGAGGTGATCATGCACAAGACAGTTCTGCGGCAAGTAGACCAACAAGAACAAGTTATCCTGCGGAATTTCACAGACCCAAGCTTTCGTACCCAGGACTTGACATACTATGAGTCCTCAGAAGCCTTCGACACGGTCGTTCGCATCGTCTACTTGGGTGCTTTGCCACTGGGCCAAAGCCAAAAGTGTGGCAACTCTCTGAGACTTCTGCTGCTGCTAACACAACTACAGAGCCCAATAGGGCTGAAGGCTTCCCTTGACACTTGCAGGTGGGTCTCAGTGGTTCCGATACTCAACGTGCTTATCGCGGCGATGGACCCACGGCTACAAGTTCTGGTGTGCTTTTTGTCTTGTCGTGCGGATCTTGCTTCGGACCAGAAGCTGGACGCTCACGATCGAGCCCCGCCCGGACCTTCATCCCCAAGTCTGATTCTACTTATTGTGACTGCCACAGCCACCAGGTGTCAACCTACTCGAAAGCTGAATCCATGACTCTGGGCCTTGCGATCAAGGCCTCCGCCTGTGCAAAGCACGAGTAAGCAGCGAAGTCCTATTGTTGGCTGAGAGCGGTTGACCAGAAACCGCAAAATGTGAACGGCTTCCCATACGAATCTGTATTGGGTCTACAATCCCCCAGTTGAGTCATTCGCGCTGTGCAGTACGATCAAGTGTGGTGGGAGCATGTGTTCCGATCTCGACCGAATTTTGCTAGAGTTTGGTGTTACCTCCATACCCCAAACCCCTTCTTCTGCAGACAAGAAATTCTCAGCTCCTTTGAGAGGCCAGGGCGGGCTTCGTGCTCCGCATGGAGGACGTCGGGCAACCGGCCGGGTCCAGTTTTGAGGAACGTAGTCGACAGTTTTGCACCTTACAGAGGCAGAAGCAGTGGAACTTCGCAACGGCTGGAAGAGACGAACTCAGCGTCGGGAGCTGCTTATCCCAGCCTCTAATGAATCCGCACATAGGCTCACCCAACTCTCTCAGCCGGTTGTGTGACAACAGCCGAGACTTTTGTGAGAAGGAGCCGCCTGCACCGCATATAGCATGTTTTCCATCGAATCAGGCACTCATCCACACCGCCACCAGGGAGTTGCAAACCAGCTGCACACTGCACACATGCGCTCATTGCCCATAAGCCAAAGGCTACAAACTGCTTGCATCCGACTCACGACGAGAAATGAGCTCCAACGCACACCGCGCCCAGCCACTGCAGGATATGCTTCGATTCGCCGCTGGGCTGGGACGACCCCAGAGGTTTACTGGAGTTCAGCGGTATAGCACCGGCTGTAATGAATTTGGAACGAGTGGTAGATTCCATGCCATCCCATTCAGGGAGTGTCGGGATTCTCTTGCTGGAACAGGTTGAAGGCTTGCTAAGACAAAGAGACGATGGTGCATCGAATGCCAGAACCTTGAGTCCTGTTTGCAGAAGTCCGCAAGCAGCTGCCTACAGCTAGCTCATTGGGAGTTTCCTTGATTGGCAGGTTAGTGCTTGTGCTAATTCGCATCCTACTGGCTCTGGCGAGCCTAGCTTCTGTAGCCGCCTGCACCTCACCCAAGAAACGGCGCCTGCACTTCTTCAAAGACGCCGGCTTCGACACGGCGCTGGCTTTTTCGGAGCACGACAGAGGCCAGCAAATGATTGCAATACCCCAGCTTCGCAGATCGGGAGTCGGGAGTATCGTCTTTTAAGTTGGGGCGAGGCTACATGTACCGAGTTTCAGAGAGAAGACTGGCGATGACCTTTTGCTGACTTCGCCGTGGGAGCTGCGAGGCCCTAGTGGGGGCATCTCCATGATGTGCGACACCCTCCAACTCAAGGTGCCGCACCAAGTGCCCAGCGTGCATCTTGATCCGGGCGGCTTCCAGTCTAGGCATACTTTACCGGTCTGCACGATGCAGCTGAACATGACTGAGCACAGAAGAAGCATTGACACAGGCACGAAAGGTTTATTGTGTCCACGGCAGCATGTACGGATTTACACTTTGCAGAACAATAGAATGTGTGGATAGTCCTTTAGAGCCAACCCTAACGGCTTCTGGAAAAGGAGCATGGCAGCTTCGGGCGCCGGGTCGGCGCAGTCCTTTTCTTTTCGGGAGAGACTGGTACAGCCGCTGAGCTGCACTGCTATTTCCCAGACAGTATGCAGACAAGTCAAGGTACTAGTAGTATAGTTCGGCTTTGACTTGGCGCGTGAACGGCCGAGGCCACGCAACCCGGACAGTAGCATCCCTCGCTCCAGAAATGCAGGGATGTAGGGAGTTACATGCGGCCGTGAAGGAGCAAGTGGATAATGCGACAAGAGACGCTGAGCCAATTGCGCTTGCCACTTCACCGGTAATGAATGAGATGGTTGGGCGAGGCCTGCCGACCCACATGCCCCCATGCTGTTCCACAAGTCGTGGTCATGCTGCATAGAAGGACTTTGTTTTCACGGGCCCTCAGAACCTCCTAGCCAGCCAACAGCACTTTATGGAGGCAGAAACATTGTTTCCCAAAACCTGCAGGGCATCCTCACCCATCTCAGCGGCCAGAAAGCCCTAGCAGGCCCTGGTCCTTGCCTTTCCTGACTCTTCGAGGATCAGCCTTGGCCGTCCCATGACATCCCTCTGCTTGTCAACCATGTGAACACTGTCTCCGAGAAGCTGCACTCCCAGGATGGACCTAGGGAGCAGGGCTCAGGGGGGGGGGGGGGGGTGGGTGGTGCTAGTGGCAACAAACTGCTGACACAGAGGTGCAGGAGGCCAAAGCCTTCACAGCCGCCCTCGATTTCTTTCACAATAAAGGAAACACACACACACACATATATACGCACGACATGCACATAGACACGCGCACATGGCAGACGGCAATGTAGTGCTGGTGTTAGTCAGCCCCCGGCCCAAGCATGCAGGAACTACATCGCGAGCTGCTTTCAGAGCTGCGTGTCATCCGTGATGCCACATCACGGGCACGCGTCATGCCGGCTGCAAGCCATGGTCATTTGAGCATGTAGATAGGTGACGCAGAGTCTTTCCGGTCGCTCTGGCTACCGGATAGTTGCCTAAAATACCTTGAGCACAGCTCTTGAATCGCGGGTGCTGCCACATGGCCACGGCGCAGTTGCCACGTTTAAGCCCTTCTCTGTCAATATGAAATGCACTTCCACAGAGCCAAGGCTGCCTCTGCCTCGCGGGAACCTGTTGCAGCACCACCCGTGGAGGTTACACTGCAAACCTTGGCCACTTGGGTCATAGCTGTCTCTGTGCAGTTCTTCCATGAGCTCCGAAGGGCACCATCGGAGACCAGGCCGTAGTGTTGAGGTGATTCGGGGTGCCCAGCCTGAGGCAGCAGTTGCTGAAGCGTCTACAGGCCAGCACTGTTTTTTGGCTGTGGAAGGCCCGGGTGTGGGCTGAGCGAGTTTCGGTTTAAATGTTACTGTGGCTTGCATCTAAATCCCGTTCGTATCCGTGTTCTCTATGGCTATGCCGTGTGGTAGCATTTGTGTAGCCAGGGCTGGGAATCTTTGCCAGTTTGATCAACGTCCTTTGTGCCGTAGAAAGAACAGGAGAAGCATCGTTTTGCAGGCCGCATCTATGATGTGGGCGCATACCTTCCGAATCATCCAGGCCACATGGTGTGTCAGAGTCCTCATGGAGGGATGTGCATTCTGTGAGCCAGCATCTCGGATCGAAGCATCAGGGCCCCCGCAAGTATACCCGGAAACCGTGGCGGGATGCGTTTGCTCAGAAACTGCCTGACGCACAAACTTGGACTTAGGGCTCTTCGGGCCATTAGAGGCACAACAAACTCACATTGACCGTACCTGCACGGAGGTGGCAGCTCGGTGTTGACGTCGGGACGTGGCAAAGATGTCAGTGACACCTGCCTTATCCGGTGGTGTCAGTCTTCGAGGAATCTGAGGGTTTTCTGTTGGCCTCGAGCTTGGAATGCAGAGGCCTAAGTCTGACATATTTGACTTCTTTCACTCATGTGGGTCAGGGTTGGATGCGTACTTCGTTTCGTCTCAAGCCCAGCACTAGGATGAAACAGGTGTGGTGATGCGTCACGTTTCCGTGCAGGTGTGTGTGTGTGTGTGTGTGTGTGTGTGTGTGTGTGTGGGGGTGGGGGGGGGGTGGGTGGTACATTATGTGCTTAAGCCTTCTCATCAGCTTTCCCAGACCTCTGGGTTGCTGCGTGGCCGAACCCACCGTGGCACGGTGCAGCAGGCCTTGCGTTGCTCTTCTTATTGCAGCTCGCCGTCGTCCTCTCGAACAACTTGTGATGGTTTGTCTTTGAAGGCTATCTGGGCTCCTTTGTGCTTAGGAGCTCTTTCGAGCAGCCCACCCTCAGCTGGTACGGGCACGGGAGGCTTTGGCTCAGCTTCCGGCAACTTGGCCGCAGATTGGAGTGCTGCTCGACGTCGCAGTTGCCCGAGCTCCAGCAGCACACCCTCAACAGTGCTGCAGCTGTTGGTTCGCATCTCCCACTTCTCGTGATGGAAGCCCTGAGGCCCCTTGAGACTCTGCTTAGCGTCAAGGCCTAGCACTGCCCTGTTGCTTTGGAGGTGCTGGGCATCTTGTCCAACGGCGATGCCCCGGCCGAGAGCGCAGTGACGAAGATCTTCGTCTGAAGGCCGGCAGGTGAGCTCAGGTCTTCTCAGGGGCATATCAAAAGACTCTGCTACTTCGTTCGGTAGGAGGGCCGGAAAGTCAATAGCCTCGTGAGCTTTTCGGTGTTGCGATACGTGGCATTCTTGTCTCAGAAATTCGGACAGCTGGAGTGTCTGTGGTAGATCATGACTGGCACTTCATTCCAACGGAAGTCACACCAGGTAGAGTGACATCCATCCAACATGGACAGGGACCAGTTTCAAGTTCTGAAGGAAGGATGATCGGGTTCGAGGGATGGCATGCAGGCGAGAGGTATGGCATCAAGGCAGGAAGGCTTGCACAGTTCATCATAGGTCCGAGCATGATCACGTTTCAGGCCACGGAGGATGTACCTTGCGCAAGAGTCACGTCCCGACTTGCGAGAGCATGGACACCACAGCAATCTCACTAAGAATCTCTAGAAGTTGTGAACTGCCATGGACACAACAATTTCATGGCACTATGGGTCTACCAATGCAGTTGCGCAGATGACGAGGCCGCACAAGTTTGTCCGGAAGACGGAAGGCCTGAAGCACGTCGCTGGTCAGTTGGTTCGGTGAGAGGGTGAGACCAGTTGAGGTCGGCGTTTTGTAGATGGGGAGTCGCAGTTCTATGCCTCACTTGAAAAGTTCTTGCAGGGCAGTTCTGGCTTTTCCAGACAACCGCTGAACACAAGCATCGAGACCTGCAGAGGTTACTCCTGTCACAAAGCCAAGGACAGAAGCTCCCCCACAAAGTGGCAGAGCAACTGCGTGTGATCAGTTACGCGTAGGTCGGCAAGGGCCCACTCAGACAGCACAGAGAGCTGCTTGTTGATCTGCAAGAGGTGAGACTGCATACTTTGGTTCAGAATCTTTTTCCGGCTGCTTAGCACTTGTGGAGAAGCATATGCTTGTCGCCTATTGGGGTCCAATAGTCAGAAGTCGGAGTGCATTGGAGTCGGACTACGTCCAGCCAATTGGGTGGCCATTTGTCCAATTAGTCGTGGTTTCGGTTTGTAATGGACAACTTTCATGGTTGTAATCGGGCGGTTCG